CAGTTAAACCATCCGCAGGATTCAGTTCGCGTTGAAACCGACGGCGCTGCCCGCCAAGATTCCCCCAGGGGCCCCGAACAGTGGCATTTTCCAAAGCTCCCCTTTCTCCGTAGAGGCAAACTGTTCCCGATCGAGGCAGTCGCGCAACGACTTGGCGTCTGTCATGGCAATGTTGTCCAAATGGGGGATCTGCCCCCTAATCGTCGTCACTCGTCTCTTCGAGTTCATGGCGCGGCGGCCCCGTGGCTCATGCTGGTGGTCTTTCACCACGTAACTCCAGGAGGTAGTCCGTTCTGCTTCAGCCAATGCTTCAGACATGGCGACCGACTCCACCGCCAAAGTAGAGCTTCCAGCGCAGTCAGTCTTGCGAGCATGCCAGGTCAGAATACTAACGCCCGCTTGCTTGCCAACAAGAAAGTCCTGCTCTGCAGCGCAAAGCACGTTGCCAGTCTGGGGGCGCCCTTGTCCCGCGCCCTCAATCCAATCCAGAATCACACAAAACGCCCATGCGAAATCGAGACAAGGGCATGGACTTGATAGCGATCGCGGCGCTGGCATCCTTGATGCGTCGCAGAGCGGCGCTGGCTTCAATCGAGCCCTTCACCTCGGGGTTGGGCGAAATACTGCTCACGAAAGACGCACCTCCAGAGCCGTTCGGCATTCCTTCCTGGCACGTCCAATTGAATTCTCCACGCAACCCGCGCGCTGCGGAAATTTCTTCTGGCGCGGGTCTTTACGGCGCCCGCGCGGCAGGTGGATGAGTCGCGCGCGTTCTGGAAGATGCCGAGCCACATCGTGAGATCGAAATTTCTGCGCTGCCGTAGGGTACGTCCGCCGCGCCCAATAGAGTCGCCCATGAGCCCTGTCCATTTTCCGAACTCGAAGCGCTTGCGGAGGCGCGAAATGGCATCGAAAAACTAAACCGCACTTTTTGAAAGCTGTCAGAAAGCTTCTGCGCCAGCCAGGAGGGCCAGTAACCAAGCCGAGAACTTCGGCCAGCAGCTCGATAACGATCAACTCCTTCGGGTCTTCTACAGAGGTACCACTCCGCCGGTTGGGGGTGAGGCGAATAGAGGTTCTTCCAGCTGGTCGCGCAATCCCTGCGAATCAGACTTCACGTCGCCAACCGATGATATTGCCTTGATAGAGGCCAAGCATTGCAGAGCAAGAGGAACGTCTGACGTCGAGGGGCAGGTGCTGCACGACTGAGCACGGCGATATCCGGGTCATGAAATCCCTGAATGATCTATCTGGATGTTGCATCGTAGTTCTTGGGCGCAGAAGGGTCGTTATGCCCATTGTCGTAGTCGGCCCCATTGTCTCTCCACTGACCGCGCCAGCGAGATGAAATTACACATGCGCGGTAGATGTCTGAAGCAGCAGCTCCACGACGCATTCGGGCGGCCTTTGTGCCATCAGAGCCAGAAGCGCATGTCTCTGACCACTATTCCCATCGACTTCCCTTCTGGCCAGAGAAACGTTTTGTTCAGATGTTGAGGTAGCGGATTGATTTCGACGTCGTCCTCGGCGCGCTTTTTCTCGATGGAGAATGACCTTGAGATGTCCACAAACTTGCTTCGAACTGCCGCGCAGTGAAAATTGAATCGAAGTTGGGGGTCTTGAGCGCCCCCATCAAATCATCTGTTACCTGTGCAATGTGACTGCTGTCCACGCAGTGGGCAACAACAGGCGGCGCGAGGTCGCCCAGCGCGTCTTGCCCGAGACACCCTCACAACTCTGGGCTCCGAGCTGCCGCGCGAACAGCGGTCCAGCGCGTTTCGCTCGACGCTTCCTCGCAACTCTGCGCCCCGAGCTGCGGCCGCGCGGAGAGGTGGTCCAGCGCGCGTCGCCCGAGACATCCTCTCAACTCTGGGTTCCAAGACGCCGCGTGCGAGGTGGTCTAGCGCGTTTCGCCCGAGTTACCCTCGCAGCCCTGAGCTCCGAGAGGCTGCGCAAGAGGTGGTCCAGGCGATTTCGCCTGAGACATCCTTGCGGCCCTTAGCTCCGCGATGCTGCGCGCGAAGTGGTCTGGGCCGTTTCGCTTGAGACATCCTCGCAAGTCTGCGCTCCAAGATGCCGCCGCGCGCGGGGGCGTCTGGCGCGTTTCGCTTGAGACATCATCGCAACTCTGGACTCCGAGATGCCGCGCGCGAGGTGGTCCGGCGCGCTTTGCTTGAGACATCCTCGCAACTCTGACCTTCGAGATGCCGCGCGAGGGGTGGTCCTGCCCGTTCTGCCTGAGACATCCTCACAACTCCGACATGCTGCGCGCTGATCCATCCCCGCGAGCCGCGTGCGAGTTGATCCGGCTCGTTTTGCCTGAGACATGCTCGTGAGTTCCGATATGCCGCGCGCGAGATGGCCCAGCACATCCTCGCGACGGTGAGCGCCGAGCTGCGGCACACGAGGTGGTCCAGCGCGTTTCGCCTGAAACATCCTCGCAGCGCTGGGCTCCGACATGCTGCGCGCGAGTTGCTCCAGCACGCATCGCCTGAGAAATCCTCGCAACTCTGGGCTCCGAGATGTAAAGGAGGGAGTGGGAAGGAGCGGTCAGACTCAAACGAACCATTTGGTTACACTTCCGTTGTCGCCAGCGCGCGTCGCTCGAGACATTCTCGGAACTCTAGGCTCCAAGAGGGAGGAGGGGAGGAGGGGAGGAGGGATCATACCCAAACGAACTATTTGACTACGCGTTTGTTGTCGACTCTGGGAGGAGTCTGAGCGCCGCCTTGCTGAAGGCACCCTCGCAAATCGTAGCTCCGATATGTGGAGCGCAAGGTGGGTCGGCCCTATTCGCCTGAGACATCCTCGCAACTCGGGGCTCCGAGATGCCACGCGCGAGGTGGTCTGGCTCGCTTTGCTTAAGATGATCTCCGAGATGCCGCGCGAGGGGTGGCCCTGCCCGTTCTGCCTGAGACATCCTCGCAACTCCGACATGCCGCCGCGCCAGGTGCTCTGACCCGTTTTGCCTGAGACAGCCCCGCAACTCTGAGCTCCGAGGTGCCGCGCGCGAGGTGTTCCAGCGCGTTCCGCTTGAGACATCCTCACAACTATGAGCTCCGAGATGTCGCGCGAGAGGTGGTCCAGCGCAAATCGCCTGAGACAGCGGAAAACGGAAGGATGAGGGAGATGGGACCAGGCCCAAACTACATGTTTGAGGGCATCCCTGTGGAGGATGCCTCCTGGAAGTGGATTCGAGGGTGCGAAGGCATCCCTGACATGGCGGAGGAAGCGGAGAATACGAGGGACGAGGAAGAGAAAGACGAGGAGCAGGAGGAAGAGAAGGACGGGGACGAGGAGGACAGGGGGGAGGAGGCGGAGGAATGCAAGGTCGAGAAGGAGGAATAGGAGGAGGAGGAGGAGGAGGAGGAAGGAGGGAGGAGGAGGGGGAGGAGGAGGAGAGGGGGGAGGAGGAGGAGGAGGAGGAGGAGGAGGGAGGAGGAGGAGGCGGCGCTGGAGGAGGAGGAGGAGGAGGAGGAGGAGGGGGGGGGGAGGAGGAGGAGGAGGAGCAGGAGGAGGAGGAGGAGGAGCAGGAGGAGAAGGAGGACAAGGAGCACTGCGACGAGGAGGGGAACGGGGCACACGTGGAGGAGTACGAGGAGCACGTGGAGGAGAACGTGGAACACGGCGAGCAGGAGGTGGAGGAGGAGGAGGAGGAGGAGGAGGAGGAGGAGGAGGAGCAGTGGAAGGAAAAAGAGAAGAAGACGTACGATGAGGAGGCAGAGGATGAGGAAAGGTAGCACCAGGAGGATACGGAGGATTTGTCTGAGGAGGGGGACGAGGAAGAGTGAGATGAGGAGGTATAGAAGGAGGAGGAGGAGGAGGAGGAGGAGGAGGATTAGGATGAGGTAGAGAAGGAGGATGAGGAGGACGACGACGACGAGGATGAGGAGGAGGAGCGGGAGGAAGCGAGGAGGGGGATGATGAGGAGGTGTAGTGGGGGGGGGGAGGGCGAGGGCGGGACGGACGATAACGTGGAAGTGAAGGAGGAGGAGGAGTAGGAGGAGGAGGAGGAGGAGGACGACGACGAGGACAACGACGGTGACGAAAAGCTGGACGACGACGCCGAAGGCGCCAGCGGACCAGGAGCAGGAGGACGCGCGAACACTCTGAGGAGCCACCCCGGCCCAGAAAACTGCGGTCTGGGGATGCCGGGCCTCTGGCTGCCACTTGACGGCCCGGAGGGGGCCCGCGAGGGCCCCGGGAAGCCGCCAGCGGCACAAAACCTTCCGTCGTGCTTGTCTGCCCCACGGCGCGGGCCTGTCTGGGCATCGCCCCTCGACATTCAGGCTTGGCTGCCCCGGTACGCAGCACGCGGCATGGGGCGCAGTGCTACGGAGCTCAGCACGTAGACCGAAGACGCAGGCACGACGCGACGCGCTCGCCAGAACGATGGGCCAGCACGTTGAGCCAGCACGCAGCGCACTAACACTGACGTCTTTAGCGCGGCACGCGCTGCGCTTCAAAGACGGGCGCATCGAGGCAGCCAAGCGTAGAATTAGAACACACGGCACAAGCATCAACCGTTGGCGCTCCGCGCGGGTTTCTTGGACCCGCGCTGGGCCCCCCTTCCTGGCGCGCGGAGCGCGCCAGGGGCGGCGCTGGAGGCGCCGCCAGGGGGCCCCAGTGCGGTCAAAGAAACCCGCGCGGAGCGCCAAAAGTGTATGTTCGTGGCGATTTTTCTTCTTCGAAAGCGTCCAGGAGGCTTGAGCAGGGACCGACCGCCCCGGCGTTTCCATAAGCCTACCACGAAATGTTCTTAGAGCCCCAAAGTGATCTAAGAACGAAAACAATATGTTCTCAGGACGTGAACCCGATGTGCTAAACCAAGACAGCCCCAGCCAGAAGTGCAGAAGTGTTCTACGAATACTTCGGTGAAGCCACAAAAAGTTGCTGGAACACTCTTTGGCGGGCCTATAGGCGAGCCAGGACGCTTCGCCACTGCTTGAGAGGCAGTGGCCATCCCCCCCCGCCAGTGGGGGCCCCCCCGGGGGCGCTGCCTGGGGCCCTCTCGCTCCGGCCCCCCCTGGCTGTGTTCGCCCGCGCGGCGGCGGGGGGGGGCAGGCGTTCCGCCGGGGGCTCCTTCGGGCACGAGCGGCGACGGCGCCGGCCGAGAGCGGGTCGGGGGGGGGAGAGCGGAAGAGAAGGATGGGGGGGGGGGAGGGGAGAGGAAGTCAGGGGGCGGGGGTGGGGAGGCAGAGCGAAAGGAAGGGATGGGGGAGGGGGGGCGGAGGGGGAGGGGGAAGGGAGGGGACGGCTGCAGGGACGAGGGGGGGAGGGGGGGAGGGAGGGGGGGGGGGGGGGGGGGGGAGAGGAAGGGGGGGGAAGCGGCTGGCAGCGGAGGGGGGGGGGGCGGCTGGCAGCGGAGCGTGCAGGGCCCGTCGGCGATTCTCATTCGATGCCGCGCGGGCTCGGAGAGCTTGCCCCCTGGGGGGGGGGGGGGCGAGACATGTAGACGCGCGCTTTCCGCTCCCAGGCCCGAGGCAACACAGGAGCAGGAGGACACAGGAGGACACAGGAGGACACAGGAGGATACAGGAGGATACAGGAGGATACAGGAGGAGGAGGAGGAGAAGGAGGAGGAGGAGGAGGAGGAGGAGGAGGAGGAGGAGGGACCAGCATCTTGTCGCTGGCCCGTGCCCGCCCTTTCCCCTCCTCGCCCGACTTGTTACAGCTTCTAGCGAATTCTTGAAACTGTCAGCCCTCGGAGGGCGAGTCGACTTGAACTTCCAGCAGGCTCGCCTCGCCCCACTCCTCCTTGCCAAATCCGCCCCTGTTCCCTCAAGACGTCTCATCGTTCCAGCCCCAGGGGCGCAGAATTGCCAGAACATGCAGCTGACCCGTTCCCGCGGGGGGGAGCCGACTGCTCTCCGCCCCTCCTGCTCCAGCTCCTCCTCCTCCTCCTCCTCCTCCTCCTCCTCCTCTCTCCTCCTCCTCCTCCTCTCCTCCTCTTCCTCCACCTCCTCCTCCTCCTCCTGCCTCCCTCCTTCCTCCTCCTCCGCCTCTCCTCCTCATCTTTCCTCCTCTCTGCCTCGTCCTCCCTTTTCCTCCTTTTCCTCTCCTGCTCTCTCCTCATCCTCACCCCTCTTCCTCCTCTCTTCTCCGCCTCCTCCCTCCTCCTCCTCCTCCTTCTCCACATCCTCCTCCTCGCCTCTCCTCCTCCTTCTCCTCCTACCTTCCTCCTCGGCCTCCTCTCCTCCAGCCTTCTCCCTCCTTTCCTCCTTCCTCCTCTCCTCCCCCTCCTCCTCCTCCTCCTTCCTCCTCCTCATCCTCTCTCCTCGCTCTCATCTCCTCCTCCTCCTCCCCTACCTCCCTCCTCCCCCTCCCTCTCATCCCTCCTCCTCCCCCTCCTCCCTCCTCCTCCTCCTCCTCCTCCCTCACCTCCCCACCCACCACCACCCCACCCCACCACCACCACCACCACCCTCATTACCATTATCATCATTATCATTATTATCATCATCAACATTATTGTTATCATCATCAACATCATCATCATCCTCATCATCATCATCATCATCATCCTCATCATCCTCATCATCATCAGCATCATCATCATCATCGTCATCATAATCAGCATCATCATCATCATCATCGTCATCATCATCATCATCACCATCGTCATCATCATGAGCATCATGATCAGCATCATCATCATCATCATCAGCATCATCATCATCCTCATCCTCATCATCATCCTCATCATCAGCACCATCATCGTCATCATCATCAGCATCATCAGCAGCAGCAACACCATCATCATCAGCATCATCATCATCAGTATCATCAGCATACTCGTCATCATCCTCATCAGCATTATCAGTATCAGCATCAGCATCATCATCATCATCATCATCATCAGCATCATAATCATCATAATCATCATCAGCAGCGTCATCGTCATCATCATCATCGTCATTATCAGCATCATCATCATCATCAGCAGCATCATCATCATCATCATCATCATCATGATCAATATGATATTCATCAGCATCGTCATCATCATCATCATCATCATCATCATCATCATCATCATCATCATCATCATCATCATCACCATCACCACCATCATCGTCAGCATCCTCTTCCTCCTCCTCCTCCTCCTCCACTTCCTCCTCCTACTCCTCCATGTTCCTCCTCCTCCTCCTCCTCTTCCTCCTCTTCTTCCTCTTGGGGTTACCATCAGGGAAGGTATTATTAGACGTGGAAGAATTTTACGACTCTATGGAATGGGTGGGGCTTATTGAGACAGCCCTCATCGCCCACTAATTTATATCTCGAGCTGTTGCTCTGCGTGTGCCAACGCACATTCGGGCAGAGTGGATCCTACGCCGAACCCTTTTGCCCGTCGCGTTCCACCATCCAGGGAGGAGGAGGAGGAAGAGGAAGAGGAGGAAGAGGAGGAGGAGGAAGAGGAGGACGAGGAGGAGGAGGAGGAGGCTGCTGCGCGGACTCAGGTCAGGAACGAGGTTTGCGAGATGTATGGTGCTTGAAAAATCCTGCTCCGTTTAACCACGGTGCATGTGGGGATAACAGCGAGAATTTAGATTGACGATCTATCTCAAAGGATGGTGGGTTCTAGAGCTAGCATTCGTAAGTCATTAGATCGTGTTCTCCTAGACACTTGCCAAGGTCTCGACAGTGTGCAGCTTCGCGTGTCTCCGAAGACGGTAATTCCATGTTCCCATATTCCAGATGCCAAAGTCATTGCCAGTCGGTTGACTAAAGCTGGGTATCCAGTTACAGCTGTTGCTCAGGCGAGTTATCTGGGTACGGATTTGGGAGGAGGTCGGAGGCATGCTCGAGGCAATCGTACACGTAGAGTGGTCAAAGGAGTGGCGATGCATTCTCGGGTCTTGCGGTTCGCACGTGCGTCTCGCAGGTATGCTGTAACTGCCAAGCTTGAGAGAGAGCAAGCACCTTTGCTGCTCAGATGTATGCACATCAAATTCACGGGGTAATTGGCTCTGCGATGATCCGTTGCCGTCGTCAGACGGGGGCTGTTTGTGGATCTGGGAAAAAGGGTCGTTGCTTGACGACCTTGCTGGACCTCAGGGCCCCCATGGGAGACCCAGCTTTATGTCTTACTCGGTCGTGTTTCGAGCTGTGGATGAGGCAATGGATCACGCAGCCATCTTTGCGGCCAGGAGTCCGCAGAGCATGGCCCATCTTGCTTCAGAAGTTTCGGCGCGTCGCATCTCAGCACCGATCGCGTCATGTTCGTGGCCCTATGGGAGCGATGATGCTTTATTTGCTGGAGGCAGGCTGGGACCCAATGGAGCCAGATCATTGGAGAGCCCCTTTGGATTTCTCTGGGGATCTTGAAGCCTGGAAATTCCCAGAAGGTCTTTCGGGTAACATTATGTTGGATTCCCCTGAGCCGGTTGTTCGGGAGATTGTGGCATCTATCCAGACCAAGCTGTGGCGTGGCGCGTCTGAGCACTGGTGTGACGACGGTGTCCAGGACGGCGTAGATAATGTATCGTTGCGCCGTCTTATTTCCCAACTTAATTTGGTCTCGCAGGGGGAGCGCTTGAGTGAGCTGATGACGACGGTTGCGGTTGGAGGGATCTGGCCCAGGGTTCGTATTCGAGCCGAGCTCGATTCTAGTTTCGACGACCTCTGCCCTCGGTGCCGTAAATGCCTTGAAACGGCGTTTCATAGAGCCTGGAGTTGTGAGGACAATGTCGGAGCTGCAGCCTACGAGCAATCGGAGGATTTGGTCGGGGAAGCGTACACTCAGGCAGATTCCCAGCCCTCTTTTTGGCTGCCAGGCTTGCTGTCTTCCTCGGCCACGGAGCTGCCGCCGCCGCCTGAAGTGGAAAGCTGGCGGGCTTCTGGCCGCAACGATTCGGGGGCTGGGGCCTTGGGCCGTGAAGAACCTGGGGGGCCGCTCCTGGTCTTCGGTGGCGCCCCGGGTGGAAAAAACGTCGGGAGGCCGCAGAGTTCGGCGGGCCGGTCTTGCTGCTGTAACTTTCGACTGCTTCTTTCCACTGGGTACTCGTGCGTCGGCGTCTAGGGCGCTTCCAGGCACCCGTCAATCAGTGCCTCGAGAAGAGCTGCTGGCGTTCGAGCTGGCATTCCGTACGACTGCTGGGCATGTTTGTTATGTGACTGACAATGGGCCCGTGCTTCAAGGGTTGTTTTGGTGGAAATATCGTCGAGCGTGCCATTCCCTCGGCCCCTGCTGCCGGGCGCGTGGTGGCAGATGGGCTGGCAAGCGAGGCGACCGCCCGCGCCCAAATTCCAGAGGCGATTCGGCACAGGGTGGTGGTCGCGGAGAAGCGCGCCTGGCAGGTGCGCCACCGCCTGCTGCGAGCGCCCCTGGACGCCATGCAGGCCGAGGGGCGGGGTGGAGGAGGCAAGAGATCGGGGCCGTCTCGCCCTCCTCCTCGCCTTCCCGTCCCCTCCCTCGTCGCCGCCTTCTCGTTCAGGCACCAGCTCGATGAGCCCCGTAAGAGATGTCAGGCTTGTTTCGCTTCGGCCAGCGTCGCTACTCTCAAGGAGTGGCATGAGTCTCCTTGGTTCACCCCGGCCCCTGTTAATGAGAAGTATGTGGCCCTTCCCCTGGGGGGCGGCTCCACATCGCGGGGAGTTGGGATCATGAGACACATTCTATGAGGCTCCGGAGGGCCCATAATGTTTGGTTTTGTCAGGCTTGTGGTTTCTATGCTCATGCATCCATGCGTGAGCTGTCGAAACCATGCTCTCATAAACTTGACCCCCCTGGCGAGAATGCTTCTCTCGCATTGATGAGAGGGTTGTGGCCGAAAGCTCTCCGTCAAGATGAGAAGCTCCACCGTGCCCGATAATTCCCGAACCATTGTGGGATGGCCAGTTCCAGTTCCTGTTCCTGCTCCTTCTTCCACTTCTCCTCCTCCTCCTCCACTTCCTCCTCTTCCTCCTCCTCATACTACTAGTATTATTAAGACGAGGGCCTCGACTCCTACTACTACTACTACTACTGCTGCTGCTGCTACTACTACTACTACTGCTACTGCTACTGCTACTGCTACTGCTACTGCTACTGCTACTGCTACTGCTACTGCTACTACTACTACTACTACTACTACTACTACTAC